TCAGTGTTCTTGAGCGTAGGCCCTGGACACAGGGAGGAAGGGAAGGAAAGAAAATCCTTGCTCCTGAAGAGTCGCGTTAAAAGCTGTAGTGGCACAATGGTTTGCCCAAGGTCACACGGCAAGTCTGCAGCGAATGTGAGAATCGAATCCAGAACCCCAGCACAGTACATTGTTCAGTAGTGCCCATCAACTTGGCAGCATAAGTCATGTCCCTCCATCTAATTAATCTACATAGCAGTTCAGGGAATAGTAAGTGCAAGTGAAAACAAATGCTAAGAGAAGTGACAAACTCTACTATGGCTTGGGCTATTTACTTAAGAGAAGATGCACGTTTTCTGAATGGATCTAAAATAAGGTAAGGAGATCTTCACTTTGTCTCTCGTCTTGTCTGTCTCTGTGATGAACTGTTGAAGATGTGCTCAATATACCAGAAAGATAGTGAGTGGAAAAGAAACAGGTGAAAAGAAGCTTGTCCCTTTATTTTTAAGTGCACGAATTGAGAATAAAAAAAAAAAAACTTGGCCAGAAGTAAGTTACATAACTGAAGCCAGTCTAAAATTATGTGCCAGCAATTTACATGGGTTTTATGTAACTGTTTATACTGCTGTTTATTTAAAAATTACTACTTATCTTGGCGACCGCAGCAACACATCGTGCATTTGCTAGCTCTGGAATACAGGGCACCTTCATTAAAACACATAGTCACCAATATATTAAACACAAAAAAAACGCTTGCTCTGACATAACGTGAAGTGTCAGATGGAAACCCGCAACAGCGAAGACATTCAGCGTTCAAGACAAAGCAGGCCTTTTGGATGTTCAGAACAGGACTGGAACATGCTCCATCCTTAATTCACCCAAGAGCTTTCAGGTCCTTTACAGTACAGTTGGTACAGTCTACAAGACCAGCTCTTGTTCCTGGGCTGTTATAAAGGGCCCTCTAAATCTTCAGGTTTTTATGCTTGAACATTTTTATATTCAGCTTCTCAGGTGCTGAGGGTAGCCTGCCTTTTGTTCTTTCTTAAAGTCCCAAGTACTTTAAAACTATACAAACAATTGATATTTTTATTTTACTACAGAGCAGTCTCTCTCAGAGGTCATTCTCTTGAAAAGTGGGCAAAGATTTATCGATGCCTTCATGCTGGATTGCTCATGCACAAACTGACATCATTTTTAGGTCTAAGTTCATTGCAAGGGTAAGACCATGGGTATGTAGTTTTCTATTGGTACCAGAATGAGCTATGTACATCTTACATATCCAGAAATTGTTAGCAACACTGGCCTAATAAGGTCACAGGAGTTTGCCTCTTGTTCTTTTGGGGCCTGTTGAGTGAACAAGATACCGTTTCTCCTTGCCTTCGTTTTCCCATCTGTAAAATAAGGACGCTGGTATTCACATCTTTCTAAAAGGATTAAAACTCAAAAAATGAGTATATTAGAATAGTATTTTAAGACAACCATTATGATAGAAAGCTAAAATCTGGCAGTGTAGGACAGGGAATGTAAATTTAATAATGTAAATGTAATAATCGGTAATTACTTAGGCCAATTTGCATTTGTGTGGGTTTTTTTAAAGCTCTACCACATCATCCACTTCTCAGTGAAAGCAATGAAATGTTAGTTAAAAACAAAAGTAAGCAAAAAAATCCAAAATTATGAGTTAATGAGTGTTAATAATTATGAGTGTTATGAGTTTCTTCAGGAAAGACAGCAGTCAGAGAATGATATTCTACCAAAAAAACAATGTTTCAGTGCATCTAAAAATTGAAAAATTTCAAGCAAGTAGGTAAAATACTGTTGATATGTTTTCAGAAGTACTTTGAAACAAGGGGGAAAGGCACCATTCTAGCACAGCTGTTCACAATTTTTTTTTTCATTTATGGAAATTTTTATTAAAACTGAGGGGCAGGGTTCTTTCCAGATGTGAGGTTTTTAAAAATATATATTTAAAATTTGAATTTTGAGGAGCTTTATATGCATCATCCTGTAAGGTACATATGCTTTGAAGGGAGGACCCTCAGTCGTAATGAGTATCATACCCAGGTCTACAAGCTACTATCATATTGCTGATATATTTTCAACGTCATCAGGCTCGGCCGCCACAAGGTAAGCTAACAAAAAAAGGGCAAAATCCTGGCATTACTCGGCTCTGTAACGAGAAATACAACTGAGTTTCTGTCTAGCAACCAGTGAAGACTAGGCTGGTTCTGGCGATCAGAGGGTTACACGTCTGTCCTCAGCACCGTTGTGAAAGGGCTGGCAGACCCGGTCACTCTCCTTAGCGAGCAGTCATCCCTCAGGGGCCCGGGAGGTTATTGTGTCACCCAGAAAGTAGATGAGGGCATTTGCCCTGAACCTGGGGTCTTACTAACAACATGAGTCAGGGCAATAGTTTGTCCTAGGACAGGACATCAGAGTAAAACTGTGATTTATTATTTCAAACCCCACCTCCTTAGGTGGTGTTACTGTGACAGCTTTATAGGCAGTGACAGCCTTTTTTTGCCATTATGTATTACTTAGCATGATTTCTCCTTGATCACTCATCTTCTTTCTTTGAACTCAGTGGTCTTTGAATATTTCTGAGAACAACGATTATGCTGTGGTTAGTCATAAGAATAGCATTGTGTTGTTCCTGTTGTAAACACATATGCAAAAATAGGATTAAAATCCCATGTACATTAAGGTATTTGATTTCTCCTCTGGCAGTGTATTAGGGTCTCTGAGTATTCGGAGCAGTTTTTTAAATGCTGGTGTAAAAGTGGAAGGGCTAAGAAGGACAAATGTGCCAAGCATAGGGCTGCAGTGTTCTCTGGTAGGTGCTTAAAGTATAGGATTATTTGTGTAAACTACCATAACTTAAATATGCCTCTTGAACTACCGGTTTATGTCTGGGTACTCTGCAGTACCCTCGAACAGCTGAAAATTAGAGAAGCTCAAAGATAGGTTAAAGCTGCCTTTCTTTCTCCCTTGGCTCTTGTTCTGTGTTGCCTGAAGCACAAGCCTACCGCTGCCTCTCATGCTGAGCAGCGCTCTCTGTCAGTCGTGCCTCTGATGTCATTGAAGAAATAGGACTTGCTGGCAGAATCTGTTTTGAGTGACACTGTCTTGCTTTACGTGACTCTTTGAAAAGACAAATGGCATCTGAAGTGACTGCAAGTCTGCTAGTAACATATTCAGCCATTCAAGAAGGGCTTCTCCGGTATATCCTTCTGGAAAATGGAGAACACTTCTAAGTTAGCAGCATGTATACAACGTCCTCAATGATTTAATACACTGGAGTTATAAAATCCTGAAAATCATGGTTTACAATGGAAACTGACAGACCATCGAGTTTAGTAGTACTTTTAGGCACTGCTATAATTAAGTCGTCAATAAAAACTCTACAACATGGTACTGTAGCAGTTTCTACATATTCATATTAGTGCATAGAGATAGCTTCCATTAAAGGTGGCAGTAATTAGGTATTTATAACCTATGAAAAACTACAGAAATATGCACTGAACAAGTTCAAAGACAATAGACAAAACCAGTATCATTTTTCTTTGCAGAAAATAGGAAAATGTCGCAGAAAATAATTGTGCATTTACAAAGTGAAATCACAGAAAGAGAGTGGTAGAGAAAGGAAAAGTGAGTTGTGCTGTTGGTACTTCTGTGCGGCCTTTTAATATGAAAATACCAGTAAGAGACAATGATGTGCTTTCACATGCTAGAATTAAAATGCCTTCTGATGTAGTCTAAAATATTGCCTCCAATGCCAATACATACCTAAATAAAGCATGTATAAGCTCTTTTATGTGTGTTAAAGGAAAAGCTTTGGGCTGAATTCTTCTCCAGTTATTTTGGTGTAAATCCAGAAAATTCATGATATTTTCCCATATCTACAGTAGAATAATTTAGAGGTGAATTTCACTACATTTTTGATAGGTTTGCCTGAAGGTTTGAGTCTGAAGATTTTTTTATATGAACACGTTATTAAATCCTGCAGGTATGACTTGGGATTAACCTGAAATCTGATCACGGTACCTGTACCTGTCCATTGCTAAAATTTTACTTAAGAAAAAGAAGCCATTTTCTTATCTGCAATCATCAGTTCCCCGCTTGCATATATATGTATGTGTTTTTAAATGATCTAGTAGTTCATCGTGGTCTGTTTGATACTATTTTACATTCACATTGATTTTTTAAAGTAATGAAGAGGAATACTTAGAGCAGAGTGCTAATTTCATAACCTCTTAAGCAGGAACATGAGCAGGCTCTACAAATTGATGGGAGCACTTTGGTAAAGGTTCCCTTTGTATTTCAGGCTGCAGGACTGGCCTCAGGACTGGTGAGGAGGGATGTGTCAGCCCAGTGCCAGTTAATTCAATTTGAAAGTGGATAAACTTAATAGGTCCTTGTGGAGCTCTGTAATTTCAGTGACCACAGCAGAACCGGACGTGGACTAGAGAGCCAGAGCCCACTGAAACCAACGAAGAGATTTTAGTGAGTGCCAGATCTGGACCAAAGTGGATATTTCTATATTGAACAGCCAAGGCTATGTAATGAGAGTTTTGCAGCACAGTGGAACCCAAAGGGCTCTCTGCAGGTGCCCAAGCCTTCCTATGCAGATCTGATTGCAGAACAGCACTCTTTGTTGGTTCGGATGTATAAGCTGCCTAATGGCATTAGCAGGTCCAAATCCTCTGTCTTCTGCCACTTCACATTCTTCAAAAGGAAGTTACTTAAATGAGGGCAAACATTGGCCTGAACGTAATTTGTATGCCAGTGCATTTTTAAGCATTCTTTTATTTAAAGCTTTTGAGCGATGTTTTGCTTTTCTCTCTCTCTCTTTCACACACACACAATCATAACTTAATTACTGTGCAAAGTTTTGCTAAACATTATTTTGACTTTAAACATTTTCCCATGGAATGGGAAAATCTGTAAAGTGATTAAAGTACTTTGATGTCTTTGCTTGGACAGATACGTGATTTAATTTTCTCTTTTTATTTGTTTCCTAGTGGAATGGAGCTGTTCAGAAGACTTTTGTCCTTTGGTTGGCGAAATAATTATGGATAATCTTCAGTCTTTGAGGTGTACCATCACGGGTCTCAGAACAGTAAGCATCAAATGTTTCATTTAGATCTTGTTTCCCCGCACCAGTGATACAAAGACAGATATTTGCATCCATGCCTGTTTTTAATAACTGCAGAGTGCCATTCCTCTAACAACAAGTTCCAGTCATTAAGCATAATAAGTCTGCTATCTGTAATCTGAAAGTCGCAAAGGAATAGACAGACAGCATGAACTGTTTTATAAGTTGTCATGTCATGAGGAGATCAGAAAAGACTGGAATGAAAGGTGCTGTATTCTGGATCATAGGATAATCCTAGTGCAGATCAAAGACTCTTGAAAGATCTAGTCCTGACTCTGATGACCGATAGCTAAGATAATAATTATTTCTTTTCTGCTTCTTCCAAGAACATAGACATTGATGGAAGTCAATTTTATTTTTTTTCTTTATTTTTGTATGAACGTTTCATACTGAAAAGAACTGGGTAAGCAATAGAGACAGCTGATGATGATTCTTAAGCAGAATAATTTTGACTATGTGTCTGAAAGCCTTTTCTCTACTGGCTGTTCATGACCATTTGTACAGGCAAATTTTGGTTCACAGAATACTTGAAGAAAATGAATCTTGCTCAAAATATACCCAACTATTTCCACAGGAAACATTAGCAGGGCCCCAGTCCAGCATCCACTGAACTGGAGTCTTTCCTTTGAATTCACTGCACGCTAATTCAGGCCTACAAAGTTACAGTACAAGGAGGCATGTGTGTTCAAAAAGCCCTTGGCCAGTGCCCCAATATATGGGGTTTTACATGGTTGACTCTGCTCTTGAGTTGAAATTCTTAAAATGAGAAGAAGCTAAGTGATGGGCACAATATAAAAACCTCCCTTATAGAACAGAAAATAATTTTTTCTCCAGTCTTTTATCTGGAGAAATCTGTGATTTCAAGCACATCATTGTTTTTTCAGGGAACTGAGCCACAGTATGCATTTCCTTTGTTTTTCGTTTTCTGTCACAAACACAGTAACTTTTCTTAAGTTAAAAGCTAGCAAACTGGCACAGTCACTTTCGCAGGCACATATCAAGAACAGTGCAGTGGAGGGTGTTCGTCTACACTCTCCAAATTACATAACATCTTTAAACGAAAAGCTAGTTTTTTACAAGCACTCTCTATTGGCCTAGATTTACACATCAAAATCGATGGTAAAGATCTGACCAACTTCAGTGGCAGCCAAATGAAGCTTTTTCAGTCTCTGTGCTAGCAGATGAGTTCTGTCAAATGCTACAGGGGAAAGGGGACTTCTTTAGTCTTTTAAGTCTGATTGTAAGAGTTCCCAGTGGTCTGCTTTGGTAGAAGAGATTGCAGTTCCTCAATTGAAATTGGTGTACTCTGTTAAATCTCAGCAAATCACCTGTTCTGAGAGCTTTGAACTATGTTTCAATCCATCATGATGCATCTGTTGACCCAGCTGAAAGCTACTTACAAGTTTTTGAAATAAAACAAATTTGGGAAGGACAGTTATAGCTAAGATTCCTAGTCAAGCACTGTTTTTGACTTCAGTTGTTTCCATTTGCAGGGCCAGAGGTATTATGTCCATGTTTCAGCATACAACATGAGAGGATGGGGACCTCCATGCAAATCTACTCCTGCATATGCTTCTCCTTCAAGTAGGTTGAGTTTGTCTACCCTCCTAGTTTGATTAGTGATTTTGCTTTTTAGAATTTCTTCTTGTTCACAGAGAAGAAAAAGCCAAGTATTCTGGAGTCTCATGA